AGTTGACCATGTGGACCATGCGGAATTCCTTCTGCATTTAAATACAACCTAATGGCTTTTTTTAATCATGTTGAAAAAAATTATTTTCTATAACATTGGCATTATTACGCATTTAAAAATATTTTTAAAGAGAACTAAATCATGTAAATGATCGTGCGATACTAGTATTTCATACGAGAGCTTATTGTTACACGAAAATATTTTAGCTGTTTTGTGTTTATCGTCAAACCATATTTCCTTACTTATATTATCAAAAGATGAATAATAACAAGGAAAAAAGTTGTTGAACAAGTAAATAAAACCCATCTTGATTATAATAGAGACACCTGGCTTTTTTATGTTTTTTAATGGTAAATAACTTTTGAACTAATTAAAACAGTGTACACGTTAGACTTTGTGTCATTTCTCTAGAACATTCTATACTTAATATTATTTTCTTGTATCATATTTTGGAGACCTTTCTGTTGAAAATGTGTCAGGGTTAAATCGTATACATATACATGCACAGTGCGTTAACTGGAGTGCGGGTATTAGTTACCCGCACTCCAGAGCATGCCCATTGATTGGCTCATTTTTGCTGGGGTTTACATATTGTGACGGCAGAGAAAGAGAAAGCGACAGAAATGTCATATTCAGATGTTCGTTCATTGGTTCATTTTTGCCGGGGTTTCATATTGTGACAACAGAGAACGTGCTTTTATGTTTGACTATGATACAAAAGAGAAAGAACACCAAAACACTCGGCAATCTGATTAATATTCGGGGGCTACGCCCCCTCGTACAAATCAGATAGCCTCGTGTTTCGGTGCTCTTTCTATTACATAACTATAGATTAGTACAATTAAATGTTATTTCATCGCTTAGTTATCCTCTAAAATCCTTGGTTATAGCATATAGATATTTGATATAAGTCTCTGACGACCCTTAAAAGGCCAAGACATGAACTCGACAGATACCCAAAATAAGCCGAGGTACGCCCTTGTATTTCACCAATTATATTTTCTAAAAATGTTTCAGTTTCGACGAAAGCGAAACTGTTATGAATCATTATATACAGCCACGTAATTTATTGGTTCATCGGTGTTTATATATAGAAATCATACTTGAAGTTGTTTGATAAAAGTCGATCGATGGCCTACTTTGTTCTTATTCGTAAAATTGAAAAATGTTGATAAACGATATTGAATATTGAAACTTGCAAAGTATTTAACTGTAGTGAATACTGTGCTCAGTAGAAGCACTGATAACGTTTAATTACAAACGTCCGTCTGTCGGTCCACATCATGGTTTCCGGACGACATGTAGAGTTTGGAATGAGATATTGTAATCTAGTATTGGTATATAGCGAGCTTATGTGGAGATCCCATTTGGTATGGCATTTGTACCCCCTGGTGTCGAGGACTAGGTCACCATTATCAAAAATAGAAAAATGGTTTCCGGACAGTAACTAGAGTTAGGAATGAGTTATCAAAGTTGGTGTTTAGCAAGCTTATGTGGAGACCCCGGTTGGTATTGCATTTGGAACCCCTGGGGTCAAGGTCTAGGTCACCATTACTAAAAATAGAAAAATGGTTTCCGGAGATATTGTTATCAAACTTGGCGTATATCAAGCTTATGTGGAGACCCCGGCTGGTATTGCATTTGAACCCGCTGGTGTCAAGGTCAATGTCGCCATTACTATGAATAGAAAAGTGGTTTCCGGACAGTAAACAGAGTTAGGAATGAGATTTTGTAATCAAACTTGATGTATAGCAAGCTTATATGAAGAACCCGGTTGGGATTGCAATTAATTGAAATAATTCTGTAAACACGGTCGATATTTGATTTACTATATAGGTTGAGTTAAAAATTTTCTTCAGACCACCTATTTTTCAATCGCCTTCAGTGATTGGTCTAGTTAACTCAAAAAATGTCGTAACTCTTGACCAATTTCATTCAGTAAATGCTTACTTGTAAACATTGTAACCTATGCATAGTGTTAATTTCAATAACTGTGTCGCATGGAGAGCAAATATATTTTTGTTTTATAATCCTGTATACCATTGTCATGTGTGTTAAAATCTTGATCCTTCGGTCGAGGTCAAGGTAAATTACTTTCTTTGTTCATGTGACAATATTTTTACGTTTTTAGGACATTTTAGAAATTTTCATAAAAAAATAGTAAAAATCTTGAACCTGACTGCTTTAATATTCATAACTCTCAAAAACCTTAAAACAAGAGCTGATATATTTGATTAAAGTTGTATTGTATTGTATATTTTCTATTCAGTTTGCTTCAGTTTAAGGGGAATTTAGCTGAGCGACCTTGTTGTATTAGATGATGTAATTCTCAGGATGCTTACCTAGTTGATAGCTCGGATGAGTTTGAACATGGGTTATCTCTGATGAAAAAATTGTCACAGGAGCTAAAAATAGAAAAAAAAACCTTGTTAACACTCTAGCGGTCACATTTTTGCCTCAATCATCATCAAACTTGGTCTAGGTAATAGCTCAGATGAGTTTGAACATTGGTCATCTCAAATGAAAAACTAGGATACAGGAGCTAAAGATAGAAAAACGTTGTTAACACTCTAGCTGTCATATTTTTGCCTCAATAATCATCAAACGTTGTCAGGATGCTTATCTAGTTGATAGCTCAGATGAGTTCGAACATGGGTCATCTCGGATGAAAAACTAGGTCACCGGAGCTAAAAATAAAAAAAACCTTGTTAACACTGTAGTGGTCACATTTTTGCATCAATCATCATCAAACTTGGTCAGGATGCTTGTCTTGGTAATTGCTCGGATGAGTTTGAACATCGGTCATCTAGGATGAAAAACTAGGTTACCGGAGCTAAAATTAGAAAAATCTTGTTAACACTCTAGCGGTCACATTTTTAACTCAATTGTCATCAAACTTGGTCAGGATGCTTGCCTAGGTGATAGCTCGAATGAGTTCGCACATGGGTCGTCTCGGATGAAAAACTAGGTCACAGGAGCTAAAAATAGAAAAACCTTGTTAACACTCTAGCGGTCACATTTTTAACTCAATCGTCATCAAACTTGGTCGGGCTGTTTGTCTTGGAAATTGCTCGGATAAGTTTGAACATGGGTCATCTCGGATGAAAAACTACGTCACAGGAGCTAAAAATAGAAAAATCTTATTAACACTCTAGTGGTCACATTTTTCACTCAATTATCATCAAACTTTGTCACGATGCTTGTCTAGGTAATCGCTCATATGAGTTGAAACATGGTTATCTCGAATGAAAAACTAGGTCACAGGAGCTTAAAATAGAAAAATCTTGTTAATACTCTAGTGGCTACTGTTTTGATCTAAATATCCTGTAAATGGTCTGAAAGTTTGTTTTGATGATTTCTAGGTCAAGTTCGGATATGGGTCACCTGGGTAAAAACTAGGTCACACTGCTCAAATATGAATAATCCTTGTTAACACTCTAGTGGTCACATTTTTGACTCACCTGTCATGAAACTTGTTCAGAATGCTTGTCTAGGTAATTGTTCGGATAAGTTCGATGGGTCAGGTGAGCGATCAAGGGCCACCATTACCCCCTTGTTTAAACAAGTTTTTCCATTTTACATGTGTACACTTCAAATAAAATAAAAAATGCAAACATTATTCAACAAACAAACAAAAATGGAATGATTATTGACTTTAAAGTTAACATTACATTTTTAAAAATTTAATGATTTTACATACTTTTTACAAACATCATATATTAATGTCACGTCTTATTGTTTAGTAACCAGTCAATTGTAATGCAATGCAATCATCTTTCATTTAAAACACAACAGTCTTTTGTAGCCTTTTACACTTTCACACCTCTGTTCAATTTATACCAAAGTAAATAACTGTTTATGGTGCTAACAATATCACTTGAAATAGGATTATTTAGAATAGCAGCAATTAATGAGTGTTTTTCTTGCTCTTTCTTTACTAGTAAACACAAAGAGAAAAACTGATGGCATATTTATCAAAACAAAAGTACAGCCTTGTAATGCAGTAGCAGTTCCACTTTCCAAGACATTAATCCAGTTCCAGTAGTGGCAACATTTTGTAAGAGTAATTTAGTATCAGTACCAGTACTTGCATCAGTACATATTGCAGTACCAGTACCAGTACCAGTAATGCAGCTCTGAATTTATAATATGATTTATTTGAGGTCTGAATCTTTACGCAATCATAATTATATGCAGTATCTGAAAAGTTGTTACCCAAAACAGACAAACAAACAACATCACGTAGACGATCTTATAGCTATAACATTTATTGTGCAAGACAGAACATATCTTTATTAGATATTTTTCGAATCAAATGATATACTATCGTAATAGTAATAACATTTATTTTAAGCAAAATATATCTGGTTATATTGGAAATAGGCTAAAGGCAGCATTTTCAATTTGGTTACGTTGGTTTCAGAATCAAATTTATCTATTATATGTATGTTCTTGAACTAAAACAATGATATTTCAACAACAACAGCAATCACTTTTATTTTCCAGTCAGTTTACAATAGTAACAACATGACATTTAATCAATATAAGTTTCAGTTTAACTTAGAACTAAGTATGATTATTTTCAAAGTGACAGTAAAATAGATTATGAAAAAGAAAAATGAAAAATATACATATATAACATATATATAGTATTGTCATATTGAGTTAGACAATAACAAAAAAAAAATACTGTGGGAATAATTCATTTTTGTTTTACTATCATCTTTACTGAGTAAAAATTCCAAGGATTTTTTACTATAATCTAAAATAATATAAATATAATGCGCATTTCTATAGTAGAGAAGATGGCACGATTTCCATGATATTTACGCTTGTTGATAAATTATACATGTTACATGTAATTAATTATTATTATTTAATATTCTTTATAGCTCACTAAAAGATATTTACCATATTTACCATATTTATGTTACCGATGAAAACGGGAAGCTACGTACTACTTTCATGTCAGTGGATACACCACGTGCTTGGTATATAAAGGCCAATTAATGGGAGAGAGAGCATCTTTCATAGAGCCTTATCTCCGCTATGTGACATCACGGATAAGATGGCGAAGGCTGCGGGGTAAATTTCACTTTGTTTTTGCTTTAATAATTTACTTATGCTTTTTTTAATTAATTAATGCGTTTCCAAGCATTTGATTTTATAAGGATATTTTTGGTTAGGAACTTAGGTAAAACCGTAAAATACGTAGTGAAAAAAAAACAAGTTTACATTTTTTTTTACATTAAAAGAATACATTGTTAATTAATACGAGGAGTTCGTCACGTTTATCCGTTTAAACAAAGGTGCTAGTTGCATTAATTTAACCTAAAGTATGTTTAATCTTGTTATTCATGTAATATAATATCAATATATTAAAAAGATATTAAAGTATTTTTTTTCTTTTTAATATATTGATATTATATTACATAAATAACACGATTAAACATATTTTAGGTCAAGTCAATGAGACTTAAACGGCTTCGGTCAGTTTTTAGCCAATGACCGGTCAGAAAATACAAAGGTTAGTATAAGTCCAACAAACGAAGAAATTTTAGAATGTTTTTAACATTACTTAATTTTGCTTATTTAAGGTAAGATATGACATTTTGTATGATTTTAGCTCACGTGTCACAAAGTGACAAGGTTTGCTTTTGTGATCGCTTTTCGTCCGGCGTCCATCCGTCCGTCCGTTGAGCCACTTTCATCCAAACTTCACAGGAATATTAATTTTGTGGTCACCTTTAAACGTTATTTCCATGCATTACTCTGGTTGCCATGGGAACCGAAAGAAAAAAAGCTTAAAAAATCTTGCAAAAACTTCAAGTGGATGTCTACCAAGTTTGTTCAAATAAATGCCAATTGGTCAAAATTGGTCCCGCCCCAGGGCGTCATTGATTTTCCCTACATGTATATAGTAAAAACTTAAAAAATCTTCTTTTAAAAAACGCAAAGAGCTAGAGCTTAAATATCTAGCAGGAAAAAGCATCTTCTAATGGGTGTCTACCAAGTTTGTTCAAATAAGAGCCCTAGTGTTAAAATTGCCTCCGGGGTCATTGGTGATTTTCCTTATATCTGTAAAGTAAAAACTTAAAAAATCTTCTTTTAAAAAACCCAAAGAGCTAGAGTTTAGGTACTAAGCGTGGAATATCTTCCAGTGAGTGACTACCGAGTTTGTTCAAATAAAAGCCCTGGTGTCAAAATTGGCCCTGCCCCGGAGGGTCATTGTTGTTACCTATATGTGTATGGTAAAAACTTTAAAATATTCTTTTAAAAAACCCAATGAGCTAGAGCTTAGATATTTAGCATGAAACATCTTTTAAAGGGTGTCTACCAAGTTTGTTCAAATAAAAGCCCTATGGTTAAAATTGGCTCCAACCTGGGGTCATTTACTTTCTGTATATAGTAAAAACTTAAAAAAAATTCTTTTAAAAAACTCAAAGAGTTAAAGTTTAGGTACTAAGCGTGGAACATCTTCTAGTAAGTGACTACCGAGTTTGATAAAATAAAAGCCCTGAGGTCAAAATTTGGCCCGCCCCCGGTGGTCATTGTTTCTCCCTACATGTGTATAGTTAAAACTTAAAAACTCTTCTTTTAAAAAAACCCAATGAGCTAGAGCTTAGATATTTAGCATGAAACATCTTCTAATGCACGTCTTCCAAGTTTGTTCAAATAAAATCCCTGGGGTTAAAATTGGCCCCGCCCGGGGGCCAATATACAGGTGAGCATTTTCAGGGCCATCATGGCCCTCTTGTTTAGCAAATAATTTTTTCGATTGCAGATTTTTTAATTAATATTTTTTTTCCGATTGAACGCCATCTTATTGTGTACAGTACGGTCCTAGCGGACAATGGTACTGCATAATCAGATAAGTTTTGTAATTCTTGTCAAGTACAAAATGTCCTATCTTATCATAAATACAACGTTAATGTTTACCAAGATTTTTTTCATATGGTAGTTTCAACGTTGAAAACGGTAATTAAGTCGCGTTCTAAACGATTAGCATTTTTGCTAACCAGCTACAATGAGTGTTAGCCCTGTAGTAATTTCGTTTCGATTTATGAAATTTAAAATAACACATTTTATAACCAATAATTAATTTATATAATTTCCTCTTCAAAAATGTTACCATTTGTGTAAGTTCACCTGAGAACACCTGTTCTGGTGAACTTTTGTTATTGTCTTGTTCCAATCATGCGTCATAGAACATAATCCTAAGTCATTGTTCAAAGTGGTATAATTCTTTTATGAAATCTCTGGTCTCTTTCGATCATGGAAAATATAAGTTGTTCAAAACCACACGGCTTACAGATTTGAAATTCGATAAAGAAATTGATGCTTTTCATATAGCAATTATTTCCCTAGTTCTCCATTTTGAAGGTCATTTCCAATATGTCATATGCTACAGATAAGATAGAAATCTCTCATAATTCTATTATTTTCATAAAAACTGAAAAAAATCGCTTACACTTTGCTGTTAATTTGATAATTGACGTAAATCAGCTGCTTAAAATAATGTTTCGTTATTTGTCTATTATATTATATAGAATGGCTGCCACTTTTTGAAGGGGGTTAATATTGTAAAACCGGGAACTATCTATATCTTACTATAAAATATGCATATTACGATCTGATCCAATAAAGGCGCAATCCATTAGTTTTCAAAGGCTTTATACATTTAGTAAAAATTCATAAAATTGTCTCATCAGAATCCATAAGGTCAAGATGTCCTTACACATCTGTTCTGCTGTACTTCTATTTAACCTAATCGTCCTCGGTTATTTTCCATAATAACCTCGGAGTTAATACGAATTGAAAGAAGTTCTCGTGATCTAAATCATCCACAGAAAATAGTCAGTTTCGGTTTAAAAATATGTCTGACAACCATTTAATTGAAATATACCCACTGATGTACAACTATAAACACAACCGACTTAATTTTTCATCATATGGAAAGTCATGACTGTCTTATATTGTTCTTTTTCAATTTATTTAACCATTTGGATAATATATAAGTTAACTTCGACTATATATGACTTAAAAACACCTTCTTATTTAACCGGAATCCATTATATTAATCCACAGTTACAATATATGAAACCATACCGTCAGTGTATGAAACCGAGGTAGCAATAAGTTGATTTTGTCAATATATGATTCCAGTTCTTCAATATATGGTACCAAAATATATATATCCTGATATGAAACCGAATTATCAATATATTAATTCATTTTTCAATATATGAAACCATTTTATTAATTTATGAAACCAAAGTAGAAATATATAAGTTGGTTATCACATTATATGATACCAATTTTTCAATATATGGTACAAAAATAGCCATATATGGAACCAGATGCCCTTATATGAAGCCGAATTCTCAATATATTAATTCATTTTACAATGTATTTAGTAATTATTTATTGAGAGATTGAAACACAAATGGTAATTATCATAACTACTGACGTGTAACATGTAACTTAGGCTAATATATGCAAGGTCAAGGTCACTAAAGATGATAAAACAAAGAAACTTTGTCCAGAGCATATCTCATCCACGCATGGGATGGTCATAAAACTTCATAGAAATGTTTACCATTTTGAGAAGCACATGCATAAACCAGGTATCTAGGTTAAAGGTTAGAGGTCATGCTTGTTCGTAGCCGAACTTCTATATTCATCGGGGATTTTAATGTAACTTGGCACGAATGTTCACCATTGTGAGGCTTATTGCGCGCATAATTCAGGTCCCTGCTACCAAAGTCAAGGTCACATAGAGAGGTCAAAGTTTGTATACGGGACCATTTAGTCATCATTTATTGATGTATTGTAACACAAAGGATAACTATCATGAATACAAGTGTGACACATGTAATTTAGGTTAATATTTCAATGGTCAAGATCACTAGAGATTACAAAATAAACTGATATTTTCCGAATATTGCTCAGAGCATATCTCCTATATGCATATCAATAATGACCACATGTCTGTCAAAAGCTTTCGTGACGGGCGTATTTTGCAACAATTTTGCCTGAATAACTATGAATTTACTTATTTTAGGTGAACATTTACATGATATATTGGTAAAATGTCAACAACTCCTATAATTAAATTGCTATTAGTTTACAGAATTATTTTCTTAGCGTAGGTTAGACCGAAATACGGTATCCGTTCGGTGTATTCGAATTATTGTGTTCAAGGTCCTCCTCCGAAGACTGACGGAAAAAAAAAAGTTGCGGTTGTGATTTAACAATGCCCTTGAATCATCTAACTTTACTTCCTTTTTGTCAAATTAAAAAAGTGGACTTGCCTTATACATTTATAAATCTTTTTGTCAGTTTCGACGAAACTGAAAGTAGGAAGGTTGTTTTCAACAAGGAACGTATTTTTGTGTCACATTTTTTTTTTGTTTCATAGAAAAGCAATTACATTTTTTTCAAAATTCATTCTTAGTCAAGTGGCAAGATATCATTATATAAAGACAAATTGAGTACGAGTCAGAAATATTATGTCGGAAATAGATAGCTTGAAATAATTTTTTATGACAGTCATGCATCTGGTCAAGGGGACACAACTTTTATTAAAACTATACTTTTTCAATTGAGCCTTTCTGATCGAACTTTAGAAGTCACATTTTCAGTTCAAATATTCCGGAAATTTGTCAGAAATGTTGTTTTGTTGAATTATTTTTTGTTTGAGTTCCAATATTGGTCATCTGGTGTCAAAAACTGTGTCATGCTGCCAAAACATAATGAACACTTGAGAGGTCACATTTTTCAGCACACATATTCTTGAAATATTCCCCTTGTGGCTTAAGGGTTGCCTCTAAGAATTGTGCCATCAGAATTGCAGCCACCGTTTATCCCTGCGTGATCGTTAGTGTGACTAAACGGAATGTATTCAGCTTTTAGCTTTAGCAGGTGAGATGGTTTAATTTGGCCCCTGTAGTTGGTTGACTATAATAGCCGTGGCTAGCAAGAACCACCTTCCCTGTTTCGTCGCCATATGACCTAAATTGTGTTGGTGTGCCGTAAAACAAGCAAGAAATCAACAGTTTTAGACACTTGTTTAAATGTTGTTT